CTCGCGGCGCGTGCGCCGAGAGCGCCTGCCGTGAAGCGAGGCGGGGAAGATGGCGGCGCGGTGGGCGGTCGGCGCGGGTGAATCTGAGGGGACGGAGCGGAGCGGGGGTGTTGGGGATTCCCGCCTGCTTTTTTCTGGCTCACTGTGCTGCTTCCTTGCAGGTAGTGCCTGGGTGTGCGGTCTGCTCGGCTGGGCGCGGCCGGAGAGGTGAGTCTGGTTTTGCCGTGGGCCTGAAGAAGGGCCGCTCCCCGGGCGGTGGGGTCGGGCCGCCTCGCTCGGGGAGTCACCGGCTCTGGAGGCTCCGCGGGTCGCCTGGCCCGGCCTTCTCGGCCTGCCCCGGAGCTGTGGGGAACAGGTCGCTCCGTGCCTCCGTCTTTCAATGTATTTGGAGATTGTGGCACGATGGAAGTGTCCCTCTTTCTCTCCTGACCCTTTTCTACCGGGCATCCAGGTTTCCTCCCGCTTTATGGTGCCGGTCGCAGTAACACAGTACCTATTGCTCCTCTCTGCGTTCTTCCCAGTCATTGCTCTTCTGTAGCTGCTGGTTTTCCCCCTCAGCCTGGAGGAATGGCAGAGTTGTGCTGGGGGAGCGTTGGTCACTGCTGACTGTATCCCTGACTTCAGAAGAAAGGCTGGTGTGGATTCTCAAGGCACAGAGCTTTGGTGTCTGCTAGAGTCTGTGGAATTAAATTGCAGAGACCTTTGTCGCTGAAGGAATAGGCTTGTGTTGCCTGTGCTTTGCAGTGGAACCGAGTTACGTGTTAATCACTTGCTTTACTCAGTTCTAGTCTGTACATCTCCCACTTAGTGCTTATGCATGATTCTTTCTAGAAAGGTGCTCAGCTTTTCTCTTTCCTCTTCCACTTACTTACCCATATATATAATATACTTTTGTTTGTTGCTTATCGCTGTTTTCTTTTGCTTACAATGTATTTGTGTCCTCTTGCTTTTCCTAAAGTTATGATGAATAGAATTGCTCTTTGCATCAGGTTGGATTACTTTAAGATAGAGGGAACGTAAGATTCCTTTGTTGAATGTATTAATGTGTTCTGCTAATACCAAGAAGACAACACTTAATTCATTAGTGCTTAAGTTGCTAAATTGCAAAATAATATTCATGTGCTTGTCAAATATTTTCCTGTATCAATCGATGATATGTCTGGTGATGATGATTTGTTGTCTTGATGAGTAAAATTTTTAAGTATTAAGCAAATAAACCAGTTTTGGTAAATATCTGAAAAAATATTGCATAACATTTAAACTTGTATGTTATGCTACCCCCTATTGATAGGAAGTGAAAACTTTCTAAGGTGTACAATGTCCTCTTGAAACGAATCAACGTGTTCTGTTTGCCAGTCGTTTTTAAAATGCTTTGCAGTGTGGCCACCCACACGAAGCTGTTACAAGCCTTAAAGCTCACAGTATCTGGTCTTGAACTCATCTGTTTCTTGTAGCTACGAGCGGCTGCCCAGTACTGCTTTATCTAGTCAGCAGGGGGCAAAATGTAGCTTGTTTTTTCTGAATCTAAGGTGAGTGAACTGACTGAAAATGAGAGTTTTTTGCTATTGGCTGTCTTATATTGACCTGACTGCATTTTGAAAGTAGTTTAGAACATCTTCCCTTTCAAATATCAGAAGAGATGAATGTTTATAAACTTCCAATACTTCTTTAGTACTAAGTCTCTTGAAAAACTAGAAATTTTTACTGCTAAAAATATTGTTGGTAAGAGTTAAATAAGTATCGGCTGGTTCTGGAAAAGATACAAATTGTTTGTGTGAGTAATGAACCCCCCATAAGAACAAAGAGGTGATTGTGTCTTGAAGTGTCCCCAGATGGTCACACAATGTGCAACCTCATGCTGTAGAAACGTGTCTTATGGTTCATGGTTTGCTTTAGGAAGTCTGAGACTTCTCGTTGAATTAAAAAGCCCTTTCAACATTAACTATAGAGGACTTGAACAGTTTTATTTTGTGAGTAGTCAAATGTGTCAGTTCTCTTGATAAAGACAGGTAAGTTCACAATTTTCCAGATAAACTGGGCAGGAGCAAAGAACTCTTGTGCTCAGCAGCAAAGACTGTGGTCTTGTCTTGCAGGTGGCTGGCATCTGGTAGCCTTTTTCCTCTGTCATGCATCCACACAAGCACATCTCTGCAGAAATTTGGGAAGTGGGAGAAAAAGAACAGGATTGTTTACCCTCCGCAGCTGCCTGGAGAGCCTCGCAGACCAGCTGTAAGTATTCACCTGTGGATTTCCTTACCTGTTTATGTTTAGCAATTTCCCAACAGATTGTCACTGTCTTTGGGTGACTCCACAAGGTGCTAGTTGGATAGCTTATTCTTCTGTTATTTAAGATTTTAGTCAGTTTGGCATATTTGTATTGTAAAAGTTAACATCACTTTGAATGTTTTCCATTTCTAAATTGTATTGGAGCTTCAAGTTGCTTGTAGTTGATCACTTACCTAATGTGTGATGCAAACTGCAGAGGTGCCATCCTCTGCAGAAGTCTCTGAAGTACAAGGAGGTAGAAGTTACCAAGGATGTATCATTATACACTTGTTCTGTTTGTACTGACAGTAGATAACTAGAAAAAACGTGATTATGTTGTTGTTTCTGTGCACGAAGATATAAATATAAATTTCCTTGAGTAGTGGAGCTAATGGTGCCTGTTTGATGTAGGTACCATAGAGTGCACGCTCTTTTCATTTCTTCATTTCTCTGCGTTATAGATCTCTGAGGTCTGATAATGTGTTGCCTCTTGCTGTGTGCTCTCTTTGATGGAACTATTCAGAGGTTGTTTTCTGTCATAGTGGTTACTTGAACTGTTTAATATGGACTGAGAGGTTCTAAAGTTATGCAGGGAGAGACATGCAAGTCAGATGTGGCAGGAGATTTTTCTTAGGAAACTGTTTTGTACCGTAGAGTGGGGTTGTTTCTTCAGTCTGTTGCACAACTTGTGTTTTACTAAACCATAAACTGAAGCAAAGAATTTAAAATCCTTTTGTTACCTGTATGCCCGGTGTGGGGCCTTCTGCTGGCTGTTCAAGTCAGCTTTTGGAAAAGTCACCATAAGTAGTGTGGTCAACTTCTTAAATGCAGTCATAACAGATTAGTTTTTGGTAATGGCAGGTTTCTGCCTGTTTCTCCCTGTCCCCTCTTACTGATCATTTTATAACTGGGAAGTAAGGTTAAATGTGAGCAGAAGCAAGCCTCTTAGTTCTCATGTGTGACTGATAACTTGTATATTTGATCACTGAAGGGACCATTCAGTGCTGCTTTCTCTATACCACGGCCTGGGAGAATTTTAGGTGAATTCTTCAGTATTTTCTCAGTCTTGAGAACTGATATTTTGGAATTCCATTTTTGTAATTGTTCTTCGCTGGGAAATAATGTGTTGTGGCCTCTGTTAGGCATGCTGCTCAGCTAAGTAAAGTACTTGCATCTCAAAAGAATAGAGTTTTTTTGGACATGGGCTTTTGTGGGCCCTGAGCATTTATCGCTTCTGTGAACGTTATGGCCTAGGACGTAGAAATACATGCTGTGTACTGTGCTGACTAATGCAATGTATGTGAAAATGCAGTTATCGACCAACTCGCTTATTAAATCTGTTTTTTTACCTGTTCATAAAGAATGCCATCTCTTTCACATTTGTATTGCTGTTAAATTCTACTAGCTAGTTTTGGTCCCTGTTGGTACAGTAATAATGTTAAATGGGTCTTTGGAGACAGCTCTTCCTGCCAATCAAACTTGAAACCCTCTTCACTTCTGAAGAGCTAATTAAGTTCATTCTGGTAATATTGTTTAGTTGCTATCCCAGTAAGCTGACTTGACAGCAGAGTAATGTTTTTAAGACTGAATGGGCATGTCAGTCTTGGACTGCTTCAAGAGGTGGGGAGGAGGAAAAGAAAAGATGATGGAAAAATCTTCTGATTATCCTTTTCAGGGACTTCTGTTTATAAACTAATTCTCATAAGATTGCATTAAAATTTTCTGTGTGCTAGCTACTTCTTTGATAATGCTTTCAGCTTCAAATGTCAAAGGTATGCCTGATCTGGTGTGTTTGTGGTATAGTAGGGGGAGTCTTACTTATTTTATTCCTAGTACGAATATAGATTGTGGAGCAGACATGTATGCTCCATTCTTGTTTTCACAGCAAAATTACTCATCCTCTATTTTTTTTTTTTGCACCTAGGAAATATATCACTGTCGGAGGGAAATAAAATATAGCAAAGATAAGATGTGGTATCTGGCAAAACTGGTAAGCAAAAAGTACTTTGTACTGTATTTGTTAGAACGCAAAATTTAATTGCTGTATTTGCTTTAACAGCCTAATTCAATCACAATCTAAGCAGCATCTTCATAATAGAGTCTGGGAGGAGCATACCTCTGTGCAGGCGAATAGTTGTTTGTAGTTTGGTTTAGCTGCTTTATCCTAGTATGCTCTCAAATGTGTACTCAGGATCATATGCAGATTAGGCACTGTGGAAGAATTTTCGTGCTGGTTTCTGCCTAGTAGTAGATGGTAAGGAGAACCTGGAAGGATGGTAATGTGCTGGTTTTTCTCTTTAAGAAAAAAAAAATCGGATGTTTTATCAAGATTTATTCAATAGTTAGCCATTACAAGTTCAGAAGTTCTGTATGTAAGATATTACATTGAAGAAAGGGTAATTTAGGAAACTGAAGCCTTTTTGGTTTGCTCTTTAAAATGGTAAAATAATTTCAATACTGTCTTCCGAATAAGAGAAAGGAAATACTTGTAATTGCAGAAGTTAACTTTAACACTTTGATTGCAGATAAAAGGAATGTCCATTGATCAGGCTCTTGCTCAGTTGGAATTTAATGATAAAAAGGGAGCAAAGGTAATCAAAGAGGTATGTAGTAGTATTCTTTAACACTCCTAATTTCAAGAAAACTTTAAAATCAATACCTATCACCAGAAGTTTGGAGATGTTTCTATTAAGCCTTTTGGGAGCACATTCAAACGAAATATTTTTGTAGCAGTTATGTAACGTTGTGACTTATGAATATCCAGAGGTCACTTGTGCTGGCTGTATTAACTTGTGATGGCAATAAATTACATGTGGGTACCCTCTCTACCAGTGATTGGTGTTAAGTTCATGGTAAATAATGCAGAATCCTTGTCATTAATGGCTGCTACATCTATGTGCTTTGGCTGTTAAAATCGTAAGAGATAAAGGATATCATCAAGGAAAGGACTGAGTTCTGTGAAGGCATGAAAGCTCTTCATACACTGTAGTCGTTAGGAGTCTCAAATTACTCATTTTCTTGGCCAAAGCATTGATTTCCGGCATAATAATGATGAAGTATCCTGTATTAGCTGTAAATATTGAATGGCCTAAGTTCATTTTGTCCACCTTGGAATTTGTTTCTAGTCTGATGTCTAATTAGGCAAAGGTCTATGGATGGAAGGCTGACAAATGCTGATGGGAACCATCTTTTCCACTCTCTTTCCTCCCCGAAAACTGTAATAAAGGTGCCCTGAAGCTTTTCAGTCTGTATGCAGAGACTGTGCTTATGTAAAAGATGTCTGTCTTTTTAACGATTTTGATCTCTTCTATAGAATACTTTTTCTGTAACTGACTTAAACTTGTCATTTCTTCCATGTTATCCAGAGATAAGAAGTAGCGTTGCGTAAATTCCTACTTGGTATTTCCATTTCTTTTCCTTTTATTACAGGTTCTTTTAGAAGCTCAGGAAATGGCTGTAAAAAAACACAATGTGGAATTCAAATCAAATTTACATATAGGTACTTTTTTTCATATTTTAATGCAGAAAATTGTCATCCTACCTTAAAAAGTTTCTTCCTTCAGGTTTTGTTGCTTCAAATCAGCAGAAATGAATAGAGTATAGTTTCTAGTAGACTTAAAGGCACGTGCTTCCGACTCGCAGCACAACTGAAGTTAGTGTGGTTGTTGAGCCTTCAGCCATCAGTTTGTTATAGCTGGTGTCCCACTAGCGTTCCTCTGGCATCTGCTGGATGCACTGTTTTTAAGATGCATTCATCTAAGAATGGAGTTTCTGCTCCCTATGTGAAAACAAAGTCCTGAAGAGAAAGCTGCCTGACAAGACTAGACAACGAAAAGCAAACTGTTATTACTTTTTAATGTTGCCAGTGAAGATAGATGCTGGAAGCTTTGTCCGTGGCTAGTACTGCTAGCTTTGCAGGATCGGAATCTAAACTTCCCTTAGAAACAGTATAAAACAAAATGAATATTGACAGACTTCTTAAAAAGGCTTTGTTATAGATGATTACAGGATAAGCTTGTAATAACTACAGCACTTTCTTGCCTAGAAAAATGTTAGAGAAATGTCTACTTGTAGGTGTTTTTAGGCCCAAAGAAAAAAATTCCCATTTTGCCAAATATGGTATAAATGTTATTAAGCTGACCTCGTAAGCTTAAAGTAACCTGGATTGTAGAGCAGATTTGATTAGAATTCTTTGGAGCCTTCCAGGCCTCTGCCATAAGGATGTTTATCTCCTAGTGCAGGACTGGATGTGTAGATAATGAAAATACTTATAATGAATGCAATAAAGGGAGAAAGGAGGGAAAATGAAATCTGTAAGACTTCTACAGGAATTCATGAGACAAACTACTGAAAAGCAATGGAATTAATACCACCTTCAGAAGAGCTGTATAATCTTTTAAGTGCTCAGTGTAGCTTCCTTTGGATTTGTCCTTTGCTATCTATTTATCTTTGCATGCATGCTTTCTAAATTCACCTTTTTGGTGCTCCTGAAGAGTGTTAATTCAACTCACGTGTTCCTCTATAGCAGTAATCTGCTAAATGTAATAGAAGAAAGACAGAGAAGAGAATCCTGAATAGAATTAACTTTTCAGATGCAGTCATGAAAAATACACTGACAAGACAGTGTTTCAGTTGCAGATGGGCAGCAGTTTATTCTTGACTGAATAGTCTTCTCTCCCCTCCCTGCCTTTTTCCTTCAGCTGAGTCAATGACGGGCAGAGGCCGCTATGTGAAGCGGATTCGTTACCATGGCAAAGGCATGTTTGGCATCATGAAAATCGTCAGGTGCCATTACTTTGTGAAGCTGGTGGAAGGTCCTCCTCCGCCTCCAGAGCCACCAAGGACTGGTTTTGACCAAGCAAAAGAATATGTGCAGCATCTGCGAAGTAGAACCCTTGTTAATACACTGTAACAAACTCTTGTGACTGTGTAGGTATTTCTTGTTTGACAATGTAATTATATAACAGAATAATTAAAATCATGTTTTAGTTATATCTTTGGTGCTCCTGGAGCTGGATGATGCAAGAACAACCATAAACTCTTTTGTTATTTGTCAAGCCATAGGTATGGAAAAATCTTGGAAAAGCAGCTACAGATGGTACTTTTTCTGAGTTACTTGGACCACAGCATTCACGCTCTGGCCTGGACTAGCAAATCTGGAACATACGGTGCCATTATAAAGCTTGTAAGGGACTATGTTGTCCTCAAATTCATGCAGCTGTCTGTCAGGTATGGTTGGGTCTTTTATTGTAAAAACATGTGCTTGACAGTCATGTTGCAAGAACAGGACTTGGACTAAAATTACTAAAATTTGACATCTTAAAGGCACTACAACAGTGGAACAAAACAAGCAACAATAATAGTTGAGATTATCTGGCATCAGTTTATGATGTCTTTATCTGGGTCGTAATGCTTTTTCCTTACAGCCTCTGTTGTGCATCTTAGGCATTGTGTCTGGGAGTGGGGAATAAAAAAAAATCATTTAAAGTTCAGGTTTTGACTGAGTCGGTAGGTGGCAATGTTTAGTTTGTCAGAGAGGGAAGTGGCAGTGAAAACTTACAGCATGTTGAGACTGTTCTTGATTCTGATCATGGCGTGAATAGTCTGATATGTGCATGGAGTTCAGGCTGTTCTCTGTGGAAACTCAGTATGGGTAACAGGCACAATACGGAGAAAAGCTTGTCTTGGGGAAGAGTGAACTAATTACTCTGCACTGTCTGGAAACAAGTTGTTTTTATAATGTTGAGGCAAGTAAAATGCTCAATGGATTTAATATATGGAATGGCTTGCTGCATATACAAATCAGGCTTTCAGTTCTCTGAAAACAATCCCATTTTTATCATTACTTTGAAGAGGAAAAAGACTGAGGTCAATAGGGGGAACCTCGTTTCACCCAGTTAAGCTTTCGACTCAGATGGCCAGAGGTCACGAGCATCAGCATAAAAAGAATGAGCAGTTGCTTGTTTATGCAAATGTCTGATATTTAGACCTTTCTTTTCCATTCTGGGAACATGAGAATGGGAGATAGATTGCTTACCTCGTTTGGGTCCTTTTACCGCACCAACTAGTGGTAGCCTTTCTTACACGTCTTTACTTTGATCAGTACTTGAATGATGGCAAAGGGACAGTTCTTATAAGCAAACAAATTATCTTTGTTGTCTTAATGAAGGTGGCATATGGCTGTTTCTTTTTGCTACCAAAGAAAGGGTCTTATGATCTTAAAGAGCGCTAGCGGATTGTGAAGTTACACAAGAAGTACATGCATGGCTCGATACTGTTAATGGGTGCTTGGTTGCAATCTGTTTTTCTGCAGTGCACTTACAAATGCATTACTTGCTTTAAAGCCACGATTTGGTAACTTTTGTCTGAAAGGTATGTTCCAGATAAAACTGTCTATCTCTGTGGTCCCTGTTGTGTGTTTGAAGAACTGTTTCTGGCATGCTATGATAAACAGCTGTGCTTTACTGTGCCGGCTCCCGTTAAACTCTTTCGTCGTACGGCATCTCTTACAAGTTGTAGCAAACTTGAATGACTTCATCTTTTTGAGGGTCAGTGATCTGGGAGAAGACTAAGGAATTGCGAAATAATGCAAGCTTAATAAGCGCTTGTCATCTAAGCATGTAAAACCTGTCTTCCAGATACTTTATTCCAGTACCTGTTTCTCCTTGCATGCTGTAGATTTCCCTTTGGATACCTTCTGGACCTCCAGAGAAGGTTGTATCCTTATAGATATCGTAGCTCTACTTATGAATCTGGAGACGGGGAGAGAAATGAGAATGTGACTGATGTCTTTTCCAGTGTGTTTACGATGCAGCAGGTGGCCCTGACACTCCTTTAAACACAGACCTGAGCTTTTAAATTTTTTCAGTCAAAAAGCAAGGCTGTTGCTTGTCATTCATGTTTTCTTTCTCAAAACAGTAAGTGGGAAGACTTTTTTGACATGCTTTTCAGCATTCCTCTTATTCCTTAGTACCCTTTTCTGCCTTAAAGATGTGTAACCCATAGTGGATCCTTATGGTGTTGGCGAAGAAAGCTCCTCAGCTGTGGCCGTAACAGTACAATGATGGGAGATTTGGTGAGGTGAGGGGCTTGAACAGGCTTGATCCCTGCCTTTCACTGGTGGGAGGGTAAGAGTGTCTGAAGTGGTTTCTGTGATAGAACATTGGTATGGGAACCTGCCTGAAGCTTTTTCAAATTCACTAAGATCTAGTGATAAAGCTTTATGCTGTCAATTCTATATATAAATAAAATTTGGGGGTTTTGATTCTGCTGTGCTTTCCTGGTAACTAGTACATCTACACTTCGATATTTGGTATGGATTCAGACAGAAAATTCCATGCTAACTGCAACAAGTCTTTAGCAGAAGATTATTTATTACTGTGACCACCAATAAAAGAACATTCTTAAATGAGCCATCACCAGAAGGGAGGGGGAGAGGCACCTAGGCCTCTACTTGATGCTAATTTTATTAGCAACATCTGGGGGCACTGTAAACTCACCACTTGTGTATGTATGTGCTGATATTAGAGAAATTGGAGGAGGAGAAAGTATGTGTGAAGGTGTATAAGGCTTCAGGGAAATGTAAAGAGAGCAGAACTGCGAGCTGTGCTCAGCAATGTGAGATTTAGTTGAGGAAAACTTAAAAACCTGCTGTTGGGCTTGTTCATAAACATTTTAAAGTGTTCAGTGAGAAAGTCGAAGTACTTCTGTCAGACAGCCTGATGTCTTCTTGGATGTGGTTTTCTTCCTTTTTAAAACTCCTGGGCAGTTATTGAGGAGGTACTTCATCAAAGGTAGAGTTAGGAGAGACTGAATATGGTTATAAAGGGGTTGTCAGCTTTTTTGAAAACGTGGAAGACGGAGGAGGAGATGTGTGAGTGTGATAGACAATGACTGGATGGTTAGAGACCCTGATTCTGGTCAGGTCTATACTGGAAAATGCTGTGGTGAGATGGACAATGTTAGGACTTGGGTGGTACCTGGGCACAGACAGGCGTTTTCTGCCCAGTGCTTCAGCTGTGTTGCTGTACCTGGCATGAACTTGACTAGACCAAGGTCACGCAGTGTGAATCTAATTACCCCTCTTTGCACAGACGGGAAGTGTGTAACAGTGCGGCCACCTCTGTGTTGCGGAGATGCTTGGGAAAGCCTTCAGTCATGGGAGTGAAGGAACAATAGGAATCACTGCTTCCTTCCTCCCAGTCCCTGTGAAAATCCGCCATTGGGATGCTGGAAAGTCATTTGCAAACAGAATTCTCCTTTAAATAGAAATAAGGTTACTCCTAATACTCTCAGTGAACCATAGAAATAGTGTGATGTTCTTCACTAGATGAGCTATAGTCCTGTAGCTTTTCAAAGAACAAGCCTTTATTGCTGAATGACATCTATCCAGCTGCACTTCAGCCTTGTAATTTAAAAATAAATACTAATTAAACAAAATAAGAGACTAATAGCAATAATAATCACACAAATTACTGTTTGCTGCAGCCTTACCTAGGGAAAATAACTTGAAAGGAGAGGAAAGCTTCAGGAACCGACTTTTGAATACTTAGACTAAAGTAAGGAACAAGGTATCTCTTGGGAGTAGTCAGCAAATGCAGAGCTAATTTTGTATTTGCTCTATAACATCAACCCTCTCTCCTTGTTTCAAGGAAGTCATACTCTAATACAGAGGGCAGGCTGCCATTGAAGAGGACGAGCCAAGGAGAGTGTAACTTTATCTTGCACAAATTAGGCATCCACCTCAGTATTAGCTGAGGAAATTAATCTGAAAGTCTATGTAATACACTTGAACAGAGCATTCTTGAAACTAAAGACAAAATGTGGGGCAGAGCATCTGAATAGCTCCTGCATCGGTGGGTGCTACTTCTTTCTGTGTATCGCACAGTAGTACAGCCGTCAAGTTTTGTGTAGTAAAATTAATTTTATCATATGTGGACCTTCATTCACTCCCTTTTTCTTTCCTCCAAAAATAATGAAATGCAGGCTTAAACCATGTTTGTATCCATGCGATATTTTTATTTTAAATTAGCTTGGAGTTGGGACCGTTGTCAGCGCTGCATCAAGTCACCTGTGTCTTTGTCTAACACTATTGGAAATCCAGCCACCTCTCTGGTAGCCTCTTCTAATGCTGTGCTGCTCTCCCTGTGAAACTTCTTGCAGAGGCCAGCGTGGGCCTCCCAGGCTGTACTCTCTTGTTTCCTCATCCTTTGTTCTGTTGCCTGGTGCTACTGAGAAGTGGTTGACTATCCTATTGCAACTCCTGTTGCTATCAGATCACCCCGCTAACCACCTTTTTCGCAGGACGAACAAGCCCAGCTTCAGCCTCTCATAAATCTAGTTCTCTAGCCCTTGTGCTGCACCCTCTCCAGTTTCCCCATCTCTGTTGCAGTGAGGGACCTAAAGCCAGGCTCAGTGTTCCAGGTACAGCTTCACCAGCGCTGATGAGAGGGAGATAACTTCCCTCGGTCTGCCGACCATGCTTTTAATGGAGCCAAATATGCAGTTTGCTGTATCTGTGATGAGAGCATGTTGTTGGCTCGCGTTCAGCCTTGTGTTCATGCAACTCCTGGGTCCTTTTTAGGTCGCTCACCAGAATTGCAGTAAGTACGTGTGGCACCTGTGTTCCAGCTCTCATTGCTTTTCTGTATACACTAATGAGGACTCCTTTACCACTAGGAAATTGTTCTGTGATGTAGATGATAATTTTCTTTCTTAATAGAAAAGTTGCAAAACAGTTTTCTGGCTTCTGTTACTAATCAAACTCTTAGGCTAGCTAAGAGTGGAGTAAAGGCATTTGCACATGCTATTGTGGTAAACCCCATCAATGTGTGCAGGTAATAAGCAGTGAAATGTGTCTACATCTCTCCTATTGATTATCTCCTTCTGAGCAAGACAAACATAGGTCCTTACTGTATGCTGGCCATGTAAATTAAAACTTTTAATTAAACGAAAACAGAGTGGACTGTGAGGTGCACTGCACTGGGCCATTA